TCATGGGGTGGTATGCCCTCCCAGACAATAGTGAGAATCTAGCCCCTTCCTATCTCTTCACTTCCCTGCTGCCTATCACAGGCCCAAAGCAACAGGACCAATTGATGGTGGACTAGAAACTGTCAGCCACAATAAACCTTTTCTCTTTATAAGTTGGTTATCTTGGGTTTTGTTACAGTGATAGGAAGCTGACGAACATAGGCCTCCTGGTATGTGTTCATGCCTTGGTAAGCAACTAGCTGCTTTGTATTTGACCTTTTGCTTCTTTAAAAAACAAACAAAAAGCTTGGTCTTGTGGGAGCTATTCCAGAGAAGGAAAGTAAAAGCGGAGAAGGTAGAATAAAATCCTTTTTTCTTGACCTCTCAAAGTCAGAGAAAGGAGACCACGCTTCTCACGGAGCATCTGCAACATCCTCTGATCACTTTTGCCAGAGCCAACCAGCTGTTTATCCCACCCTACACATGATAGCTCAAGACACTCTAAAGAAGTCAACACATGACCCTAGCAGCAGCCTGCTAACTCAGCACCCTGGGAGTTACAGATCCTTGTAGTGTGCCAGAAAGGGTGTCTTATGCAGCCCAGGCAAGCAGTTGCCCCAGCTGCCACCAGAGTGCGAAGTAACACACCCTGGGTGCAGGTGCCTTCCTACACTTTGGAAGATTTGCAACCAAAGATACCCAATTGACACTATACCTGGGTGCAAGATCTTACTTACAAGGAAATGTAGGTTTTATTTTTTAAATAGATTTAAAGAATCTACTCCATGAGCCGAGTCTTAGTGACAGTGTGAGGACACGGAATGTACTCTCTGTTTATTAGGTTGATGACTAATCTTCCATTCAATCTCTTTCTTCATAATTTCTGGAAATACACACACACACACACACACACACACACACACACACACTTTTGCTTTAGGTTTAGAAAATATTTAATATCTGTTTTTCTGAGCCTGCCTTATGTCAAAAGTAGCTTATCAAAAGAAAACATATTTTCTCAAAGACTAATTGAAAATCATGATACAGTTCCCAGTGTGGAGCAGAATGTAAACAGATTCCCTGCCCCACCCCACCAGCACACAGTCTGTGTCTGGAAGGTCCCTTTGTCCTCATCTGTCATGCAGCCACCCTTTAATAGTGCCTACTGTGTGTAAACCTCTTCCTGTGTTTAGTCTCCTGATCTCACCACTAGCCCACAAGGTAGCTGTTTTAATCCCCACTTTACAGATGAACAAAAGGACAGGTAGGCTGAGCAACTAGTTCAAGTTCACAGTGCTAATTAATGCAGAACCAAGGTTCCAGTCTGAGTGGGTATGGCCCCAGCCCAGGTCTTAACACTGCACCAGCCCACCATGCCCTCTCCCTGTCCCACATAATGACTGACTAGTTTCACAAATCACTCTACCCTAGTGTAAATAAAATTATCTCACTGTACTGTAATATAAGAGCATTATGAGCAGTACTTTCACTCTAGAAATGCCACTTCCCACTCTGCTCCAATCTATGCTGAATCATGGAACAAACTGCCAAATACTGAAGGAGTGAAGCTCAGTTTATGCCAAATTTGGCTACATGGTGAATTATGATCTACAAAGCTTCTAAAATTCAGTTTATCCACAAGGTTAAAAAAAGAAAAAAAAAGTGTTCACACACACACACTTACTAAACTTTGAAAAACTATCCTTTTATTGGACTTGTCATTCCTATAAGAACTATGGCCCCATTAGCCTGTTGAACAGAGAGAGATTTTGATGTGACTTTTTTCATTGTTAATATGTTAAGATGTTAATATGTCATTGAATGGATTTTGTTAGTTACTAGCCAAATTATACTATGGTTTCTAATATTTCTTTGTTCTATTAGTATTAAATTCTCTATTAGTAACGCATGAAAGTCAGTAACTCCAAGTACGTATTCAAGGTTTTTTGACTTCCTTGGGGCAGAATTCCTTTTTCCTGCTTTGTCCCTGCCTCTTGTCTGCCTGTTGTATTGGAGGGCCCGTTGGTACAGACCTGTTCTCTCCCCTGGTCTTTGAGCTTCTGTGTCCCTCACTTCTAAATTTCAGCCACTTAGCCCAGTACCAAATGTGGAATGAGTCATTTTTGTGAAACTTTTGAATCTGTCATCTTTAGCAATTCACTGACCAAAAGTTCATAGACCAAAATAAACAAACAAAAACAAAACCTGAAATGGAAAAAAATGTTGCTTCTACATGGCAAGAGGTTAGCAACTTACAGGAGGAGATGGAGGCGTTAAAGGAAAATACATCTAAGAGCTCAGAGACTGTAGTAACCATAATTTTACTTTCCTGTAGAAAACACAAGAAGAACAGCAAAAGTACAGTCCTGGGAAACCAAAATCTAGAAGAACTGAGAAAATTAAATTTTGTGTTAGTAGAAAAAAATTACTTACTTAACATGACAACAATTTGGGAACAAATCTCTATTTCAATAATATGTATTTTATCAACTCTCATGAGTATTGAAACAAATGCTAAGGAGAAATAAACCATAGGAAATAATTAATGTTCTAAACCTTTGAATATAAATATCCTGCTAATAGTGTAAGATTCTTAGTTAACAATTGCAGTATTTTTATAGCAGTTATTACCCTGTGATATGTGGCACCATGACACTCAGTGCCCACGGAAAGGAGCTACACAGGTGTTGAGAAGGCTTAAAGGACAGGTAGATGGGTTTACTCCTGTCGGCAATTATTACACTCATTAGTTTTCATAGCCAGTTTAGGACCTCCCAGTCTTCAGGCTTTGTGTTTTATAACCCAACTTTATAGCTCATTCATTGCTTGAACTTGAGCAAGTTAATCCCACTAAGCCTCAGTTTCCTTTTCTGCAAAATAGGGATAAGATACCACCCTCAGAGCACTGTTGAAAGGGTGCAAAGAGGTAATATAAGGAAAGCACGCAGCACAGGGTCTGTGTATCAGCCTCAGTTTCCACCAGCTGTTCATGTTTAAATGCCTGTAGGGTAACCGTGTGCACTCTTAGCCACTGTGTCCTGGTATCCAGTTCGTTCCCTTCCCTTCTACTTCACCTGTCCTTCCCCATCCCCCACCACTGTCTCCACACACTCCATACTTTTTCATTTTCCTGTTTAGGGTTACAGTGCAGAGTTGCTGGGCAGATCTATGGCTCGTGATTTATAATCTATAAGGAACAGGAAGTATCTTGAGCCAGTGTTTTTAAAGGCATTAGATAACCACGTGTTTTACTTGTAAGCCAAGATTTTCATAGAGAGCCCTTCAGCAAATTTAGCCTGAAGAACTTTTGAAACAAAACAAAACAAATTTTGGGGGGCTGGGGATGTGGCTCATGCGGTAGCGCTATTGCCTGGCATGCGTGCAGCCCAGGTTCGATCCTCAGCACCACATGCAAAACAAAGATGTTGTGTCTGCCGAGAACTAAAAAATAAATATTAAAATTCTCTCTCTCTCTCTCTCTCTCTCTCTCTCTCTCTCTCTCTCTCTCTCNGATGTTGTGTCTGCCGAGAACTAAAAAATAAATATTAAAATTCTCTCTCTCTCTCTCTCTCTCTCTCTCTCTCTCTCTCTCTCTCTCTCTCTCTCTCTCTCCCCTCTCTCTTAGTAAAAAAAAAAAAATAAATTTAAAAAACCTTAACCCCTCCATCAATTAGGGATTTAACTAAACAGAGCCCACTCTAAACAGTTACCAGCCATGGAGAATTGAGAAGGGAATTCAGGTGAACATAGGGGAGTCTAGAATCTTCACTATTACCTGTATTAAACACTGACAACACTTTTCGTAACCTGCCATGGACACTATAGGCCCCATGGATGTGGTTTGTTTCTTGACACCCTGAGGTGTGGGTGTAGGGTCCCTATAATCCATGCTGATAACCCCACTCAACTACACAGCACCCTATGCAAGAGAGACGGGCTGATGGCTCATCAAGCTGTATCTTGATGGGAATAGTTCAAGTTTTAATTGTCTCACTGAAAATATTAGCTTCTTCATGGAAATTGTCCCCAAAATGCCAATTAGAAAGCAACAGGAGGTGTAGAGTGATGTTCTTGTCAAGGAAACTTTGTGAGGAGAGGTCTTTTCTACCTTGCTTTCCTCTGGCTTCCTCTTCCATCTTACAGTTTTTAAAGGACTCTCCCGAGAAGCATGTACTAGTGGGAGGGTCTCAGTGTGGCTTTTTCCATACTCAGCGTCTTCATTCAAAGGCATGCACCAGAGCACACCTGCTCGGCACCAACCCACGTCTGGACTTTTAGACTTCACAGTGTCATGCTCTGGGGATACGCTGAACAATCCTGCATGTGACTACCATGTATGCTGTTTCCTGAATATAGTTTTCAAGACTTCCTGGTAGTAAATGTAGAAGGTGATCTAGAGAGAACCTGAAGTTTTTAGCCATGTTGGTAGGTGGACAGCTTGTACTTTTAGCAGTTTTTCAAGATGAAGCTATAACAGAGTGATTGCTGAGACATCCTGGGAAATGTATGCTTCCATGACTAGCCACAGTAGTGGCAAGTCTAGAACAATAAGAATGAGCTCTTAGAGCTATTGGAAGCCAGGAGGAAGAACCAGGCAACTGCTCTGCTCTCCTATTCTCTAGGAAGCAAAAGAAATTCATATCCTGCCAATTGACAGGGGAAAACAAGTTTTCTTTTTAGGGGTTTTGGATTGCACAGAACTGGTTAAAGTGAGAGTGGGAATAGTAAATTAAGTGGTAAATGTATAAGCCACAGGTCCTCTGCAGCATTCAAAACTGGAGCCCAAGTGACAACCAGAAAAATCTCTGTGAAGGGATTCAAAGTAAGTCTGCTCCTTAAGAGTTGGTTGCTAATAATTTACCCTCTGGCATACTACAGAATGAGTGAAGACCAGCACTTCCATAAAAGCAGCCTCACATGTCCCATATTCAGTTTAGGATTGATAGAGTAAAACTGTCCTGTGTCACATCTGTGTTGGGTAGAAAAGTTTTTCTAACACTGGATGCTGTCTTGTCTTTCAGCTTACATTTTACTATGGTGCCACAGATCGCTGGTGTCCAAAAAAGTACTATGAAGACATCAAGAAAGATTTTCCAGAAGGAGATATTCGACTCTGTGAGAAAAAAATACCTCATGCTTTTATCCTCCATTTTAGCCAGGAAATAGCTGACATGGTTGCTAACTGGCTGAAAGATAATCTGTTCAAAATATAAACACTATGCAGGAAACAAGCACCTACAGCCAGATCATGGAGGCAGTAGATTAACTATGCTTAAAAGATTAAATATTACTTTTGATCTTTAATGTTAGAAAGAAAAAAGTGAGAACTTCTTGGCTTAAAAACTCCCAGCTCCCTGTCTAAAAGCTGAAGTGAACACGTGGTGAATCATTCCATAGCATCAATGGCACACTTTCCAAGACCCTGGAACACCGTGATCCACACAAGGACTCCCCTTTGCATAAGAGTCCAGTGGCACCATGTGATGTATTTTAGTCAGCGGGATTCTTGCAGACAAAAGAAAAATCTAAATTTAGGTGACTTTAATTAAGTTACCTTGTAGAACAGGTTTTTCTGGAGGAAATTATGAAATACTTAAATGAAAATGTAAGAGACATACTAAAATGAAAATAAATAAGTGATTGTGGGAATAGAAGAGACCAGTGAATATGAAGAGTGTGGTCAGTTATGTGAAGTGTACGAGTTCACAACAAGGATGCAGGAAGTGATAAGCAGTGGATATTGGCAGTGAACATGGATGGAAGGTGAGAGTGAGTCCAGTCTACCTTAGCACAGGTCTCACCTGAGATCATTAGGGTGACATCGTGATCTGCCTGCATTAGACCAAGAGTAAAGTTCACCACAGTATTCTGGTCAACTAAACAGATGAAAAGTTGTTGAAGAATCCCAACTCTGCCTCTTGTCACAGGGCAGCCAGCAAGCTGTGTGTGGAGCCTTAACTTTCCAGGTGATGATCCCCCTGCAGTCCCCTTACCTCCTAAGCCAGCAAGGGGAGGCTCTGGACTGTCCCAGTCAGATGTGTATGGGCCCATGTGCAGTTGCTCCTTCTATGTTGAAGACCAACAGTGAGCCAAGTACTTCGCTAGCCATTCGTGAGAATAAGGGTCTTAACTACTGTGAATTCTGTGAAAATCTCCAAGTAAATAATTTGGGGGAAGGCATTTTAAAATTCTGAGTACAATATTAGCATAAATTGGTTTTCCATTTGCATTAACATTATTTGTTGGGAATAGGTTATTTTGCTAACAAACCAAAGTAAGCCATTAAATTATGTGATTTCAACTTTTCTGGACACATGGAGGTCTAGTAGACAGAAGCAGGTTCTCTGGCTGAGAACTGTTTCCTGAGACCTTAGGAGCCAAGAAGTCCCACAGTTGCAGTGACAGTTGATGACCAATCAGAAACATTCCAGTTTTCTTCTAAAGGAAAGCCCTCTGGGCATTATCATGCTTTAAGGACAATGAGATAACTCTCTTTCCTCTCAATACCTAAGGCCCCCTAATAAAAGATCCAGCTCCAGTGTGCTGCCAGCCCTGTGGTGTTGAATGAGTTACTGTCCTTTGGCCTGGCTTCTGCATCAGAGCAAATGGAGCAAATGATGCAGAGGGGGAAAGCCAAGCTCCACACAAGGAGTGTTATTACTGCAAGGAGAAGAGCCCTTAGATACACCTGCTGTGGGCACAGGGCTCCACACAAGTCCTCATCAGCATCTGCATGGGGCCTTCTGGAAAGCTGACATTAGAAGCTTGGGCTTGTGGCTCTGAGTCCTATATACAGTAGGTCCCTAATAGCACTAAATCACTGCACATAAACAAGAACTGGTAAATCAGACCTACTGTATTAAAAAGTAACATCCACACCTTTTTTTTAAAAATACTCTGTATTTCAGATGTCTACTCATACAAAATTGTATAATTTTTAATTTTTAGAGCTTAAAGAGATATGGGCTCTTAATTCCTGCTTATCATCTAAACACCAGTGAATTTTCAAAATAAATGTTTTTGTGACCTTGTCTGGCCTGATTTCTGTGTTGGGGAGAGAGTATACAATTTAAGAAGTTTGCCCAAGTTACATTGGGATTGAAGTCTCACTATTAAAGTAAAAAACCACTTTCTTGTTGCTTCTTTTAAAGAAGGAAGAATCGGATTCCAGGGAATTATAAAGTCCACTTTCTTTCATTAGGAATTACATAGAAGACAAAAATCAATCAACAGTGGTCCACTTTTTAGAAGTTATGCCTGTATGTTTCAGGCAGCCACAAGGATGATCTTTGTCAAAGATTTACCATCTGCCAGGTGTGTTGGTGCAAATCTGTAACTCCAGCAACTTGAGAGGCTAAAGCAGGAGGATTGTAGGTTTGAGGCCAGCCTCAGCAACTTAGCAAGTCCCTAAGCAATTTAATGAGACCCTGTCTCAAAATAAAAAATAATAAGGGGCTGGGGATGTAGCTCAGTTGTAAAGTGGGACCAAAAAAATAAATAAATAAAACAGAAATCTTCTTAGAAAGCTAAGCTGTCTAAATACTGAATGAAAAGTGTCAGCTGGAGCCTTGACTCACAGTGTCATGAGAGAAGCTCCAGAGGCAGTCCCCTGCAGCTCCAATGGCCTGTGTCCAAGACTGCCAGAGCCTCTGGCCATCGCTTCTGTACTCAATGCCTGAAGAGCCAGTAACCTCAAAAGCCTTGATTTTTCTTCATCATACATTATATTAAAACAAAAGCAATCTCAGACTATAAGAGACTAAAAGAGACATAATCTGACACGACACCTGAGTCTGTATTGAATGTTTTTATTATAAAATACTGGGACAATTTGTACAACTTGAACATGGTCTGAAGATTATTAGCTGGAAGTAAAATAATGATTAATTTTTTTCCAATTTCAGTGATTATATTGTGCAGAAGTCAGAGAATGAGGACTCAGTGAAGTATTTGGGGGCCATGGAGTACCATGTCCATTAGCTCTCAAATGGTTCAAGGGAAAATAATGTTTTCTCTCTACTTAGAAATTCATTTTGGAATTTTGAGGTGGTTTTTGAATTTATAAAAACAGTTATTATTTTTTTTAAAAAAGACCAACATGTTCTCTCCTGCATCTATCTCTCATTGTTTATTTTCCAGAAAGCAAATTTCTTCATGACAGTAAATGGGGACCTAGGCTCAAATCTGTCGTTTATTAGGTCTTATAGATGCTACATAAGACTTCACACCTCCCCAACCACCCCCCAACCCCAGTTCCTCATCTGAAACTGGGATAATATGAGTACTTATCTGAGGTTTTCATTTGGGGGAAGATTTTTGTTTTATTTTTAATGGGGACACAATGAGGTCATGCATGTGACATTTGGCCCCTTGCCAGCTTATGGTGGATACTCTATGAAATTGTACCTAATGGGAAAGGATGATTAACTTGTTTTCCTCTAACCTGTCTTCAGTGCAGTGGAAGACCCCATGCTAGCTCAGTCTCTGCTGTTTTCCCCAGTCTGTAACTTAATTCTTGTAGTTTTAGCATTTTTGGCTCATCCATTGGGGTGACACTTGCTCACCTGGCTCTGCTTTCTGACCTCAGGCCACTCAGCCTCCCCACATAGCCCAGGATGCTCTCACAGTTGACTTAGAAAAGGTGCAAAACATTTCTTAGATAGCATGAGACATTCTCTTTTTTGTCGTCTTCTCTTGCAGGAGAAAATAGGTAAGGACATACTTGGGCTGCTCCTTCCCTTAGAGGTAGGGCTGAAGGAGAGGTCAGGCAGGGACTACGCGTACTGTCTGACAGATTTATCTCTGAGGCTTTGAACAAAGCTTTCCTGAAGGAGGGGCAAGGACAGAAGTGTCTAGGTGTCCTTCTGATTGCTTCCCAAGAGGACTGAGATTCCTGACAGTGCCCCAAGCAAATGTAGGTAAGTGATCGCATTGGCTAGGTGGAGAGTGGCTGTGGACATGGATTTGGCCTCTCCAACCATAACAAAGACATCTCCAGAGCAAGCTTGGTGTCCCTGAGTATGATGCCTGGTGAGACTACTGGTGATGTCTCAGAGCATGGCAAGGGCCCAAGAGTCCCCCAGTTGCCACAGTTTTATAAAGAGAAAGCTCCTAGGGAGAGAGGGAAGAGGCTGTCCCTACTCCCAGAAGAAAAGGTAGAACTTGGATGGGTTTGGAATAGAGGAAAGCAAATCCAGATCAAGAATCCCTGTACTGTTGCAGTGGGACGCTCTGACTGTGCTCAGTTTCCGGATCACTCCTGAGGTGCAAAGGTAAGTGCCTTGCTCAGGATCTGGCAGCTGGTGGGTGAGCTCTGGGATTCCAATTCAGGCCTCTACTCCAGAGCCTTCGCTTCATGCCCTTCTTTCCTCTGCATTGGGCTGCCTCCTGGAGGCCACAAGGGGAAGCTCGAGAAAGTGGAGGAATGGGAAAAGGAGTCATGTGAAGGGCAAGTGAAAGCCTGGTTGGCAGAGGAAGTAAAAAGCAGGTAGTTGGTAACAACTAAGCCATTTTAAAAGAATAAAAGCTGCAACAAAGGGTCTCCAAGGCAAAAACTGCATCCAGCAATGGGTTAAGAGGAGAAGACTGGGGACTGGGGTTGTGGCTCAGTGGTAAAGCACTTGCCTCCCATGTGCGAGGCCCTGGGTTCAATCCTCAGAACCACAGATAAATAAAATAAAGGTATTGTGTCTATCTACAATGAAAAAAAATGTTTAAGAAAAAAAAGAGGAGGCTGGTCACAGGCTCAGCACCTCTGCCACGCATCCTTGGCAACTGATGCTCCTCACCAGATACAGTCACTAGTTGGCCCCTCTACACATCTGCTGTGCTCTTAAACCTTGGGAATCACTGCCTTGGCTTCAGTTTTGCCCACTTTTACCTCACCCATGAGACTTGGCCCAAAATACCAACTGCTCCAGCCTCCTTGAGCAGTCCCTCCTTCCCTCAGCCTCCAGGATGCTCTGGCCCTGGCTCCACGGAAACACTCCTCATTGTTGCAAAAATGATGTTGTTATTGGTCTGCTTGTTGCCCCCACCACCTATATTCTTTCTATCCTTCTAATGAGAGTTCTAGAAGATGGACTGTGTCTTAACTACCTCTGCACTGGCATAGCTTAGAGAATAGAGCCTGCCACGTGGAATACTGTATAATTTGGATATCTAAATTTCTTAAAGTTTCAGCCATGCCTAATAGGCAAACTCTGAAGAAATGTGCATCCTCACAGTCGGTCAGACTATCAGGAAAGCACATTTCAGGGCCTCATCCTCCAACTGGGTATGTCAGTGCAAGTGTTGGACATATGCACTTGCTCTTTTATCCTGTAAGCATTTCCATGGCAGAGCAATGCACAACTGGGTAAAACAGATCCGAGCACATCAACTGCTTGTTTCCTGGCACCAAGGAGCTACAAGAAAGCACGGCTCCTATACCTCATGGTGGATTCATCTTGTGCAGTATGACTGCAATTATTACTTTCATTCTTCTATGATTAGAAAATCTCTGGGGTTTGGGTATTAGCAACTACCAAATATGTGGCTTATTATTTGTTGAGCGCTGGCCCCATGTAGCACCCCAAGTGGGAATTATAGCAACAGTACACGAGACCGTGCTTGAGGATAGTAGAGCATTCTCATTTTGTGTTGCATTCCTTGAACATTCTGGCAAAAGGGCCTGTGCTGACCTCTCCACATTGGGACAGGTTTCCTTGCTGGTAAGTCTATGGGAACATTCCTCTTCCCTGGGATGGGAATGTGACCCTGTGACTGGGCGTCCATTACAGCCAGGGGGTGTGGGTGCACCTGCAGGGTCTCCCTCCCTCACAGAGGGACTAGAATCCCGCCTCTGCAAATCCACCCTGCTCAGGCTCTGCAGAACATCTGGGTTTCCTCCTACTGGCCACTGCCGAAGGGCTGCACACCTGCATGTGATTAGGACTCGACAGACGCCCACAGCCCCAAAGTTGATGGCTGAGCACTGGTGACACATCCCAGTGGACACGTTTCTGCCCAGATCACTGTTCCTTCTGAGAGGCCACAGGAGAGCCTTGCATCCATAACCACATCAGGCACCACCCTCAGTAGGGCAGCTGTTGGAGGCATCTTCACCTCGACCTGCTTGGAAATAATGAGGCATCAGGGGCAGAGCTGGAACAACAGGGCCAGGAAGGGAGCAGTCGGTCTTAGGCTGTCTCTTAGCCATCAGTCATTACAGAGCCTTTCAGACTTACTCTCATCCATGTTTGGGAAGTCAAATAAATGTTTAGATGCCACTGTGGCTTTCCTCTTTCCCAGTAACTTCCCCTTCTCTACTGAATGTGGAAGCCTCTACACAGAATGCTGAGGTAAGTCAAGTGGAGACTAAAAGGTAAGAAAATGAAAAATTGACCAAGGACTGTTATTTTAAAAAAAAAAAAAAAAAAAGCATGATGAGACTTTACCCTTGGCAGAGTCCAGAGCTTACATATTTATTGTGCCTGCCAAATGACTTAGTTAAAAAGAGAATACAATTTTTCCTCCAAAGAAAAATTCTCCTTCATTTAGTAGTAATGAAATTAGGGAGCAGGAAGAGAGCAGGTTTCACGATCCATCTCAGCAGAGGAAGAGACTCTCATGACCAAGACATTTACATTAACATGACCGTGGGAACACTGGATTCCGAGAGGACAGGTATTGCCATACTCTGAGAGAAAGGTGGGTCACACTGACAGACTCCCTGTCTCCCCCAAGAGGTAATGCTGGTAACAAGTCCTTAATGAGGGCAAGTCCCTAGCAGCTTTCCATATCTGCAGCTCTGTCACTAATCCTCTCCCAGGAACATTTAAGAAACAGGTGAAATAGCTTTCTCCTGCATCTGTAGGAAAAATCCCAGGTGGCACCAGAATAACCAGGGAAGGCTGCAAGGTGGTCCTACCCTGCCCTGCTAGGATACTTAGGGATGCAAGATGACATCACTGAACACACAGCATCTCTGTCCTTGTAACAAAGAGGCCTATCAATTTTGCTATAAGACTTTATTG